AGAAATTTAAATCTATATAGAGGGAAATACTATATTAACAGTTTTAAATAATCGCATGTCATGTAAATCTAATTTAAGGAATATTTAATAAAATTATTAAATAAAAATAAAATTAATAAATTAATATGAAATAAAAATTATTTTTCAACCAGCGCGACAGAATTTAAAGTTAATGGGGCTGTATTTGATAAAATTTATAAAAGAATTTAGCACGCGAACGACAGTTAATTTATGAATTAAAACTTCTGACGCCACAAAAAATTTGATTATAATTTTCCCTTACTACCAGACAATATTTTGTGTTTTTCCCTGATATTTTTGAATTTTGTTCTTTTCTATAAAATATGAATTCTATTTTTAAAAAAATTATGATAAATGAAAATTCCAACAAATAAAAATTATGTTAAACATTGTATAAAGAACAATTCAAATTCTTAAAAGAATTCAGTTACATATTTTCAAAAGTTTTTTTAATTATTCTTTTTAAAAATTTAATTATTTTCAAAGCTTTCAATCAAATTTTACGAAATTTCAATTACTTACAATTCTTTTAATTCAATACATATGAAAACTCAATTATTTCCAAAAATATAATTTAAATTATTATTTTTTTAAAAAAATTAATTATTTCATAATTTTGAATAAATTTTTCAATAATTGAATTATTTTTGAAATTTTTAAGTTAAAATTTTTTAAAAATAGAAAAAGTGATTTAATTGTAACTGCTTCATTATTGATTTATTGCAATTAAATCAATATAATTATGTTATTCATGAAAAAAAACGTTAACTAAAATTCTTTCCAATTTTGTCACTTTGAAAAAAATCAATAAACTTCATCAATAATTTAATTACTTAAGCAATTATTAAATTAAAATTATTATATATTATATATTATTTAAATTTTTCATAAAATTCAATATCTACATATATTATTAAAAACTTTGATTACAGATCTTCGAAATATAAATTATTTCCAACTATCGAAATTAAATTATTACAAAAAATTTGTACCTAATTAAATTTGTCATATTTTTAAACATTTTCCAAGTTTTCAATTGAAAATCTTTTAAAATTTAATAGTTAATAAAAAATTTAAGTGCTGAACTTTGAAATTTTAATTAATTTACAAAATTTTGATAAAAATTCTTCGAAATTTCAATTTGCAAACATTTTTAAATAAAAATTCTCTAAAACATAATTATTTTTAAAAATCTGTAAAAATAATCTTTAGCCATTCAAATTTACGAAAAGTTTCAATTTCATATCTTCTGAAATTCAATTACTTCTAAAAATCTTAATAGGAACTATTTGAAAATTTAAGTATTTTTAAATTTTTATTTCCAATTTTTCACCAAAATCAATAATTTTTAATTATTTTCATATTTTTTCAAAAATTTAATTATTTAAAAAAATTTTTAATTCTAAACTTCGAAATTTTAATAAATTAAAATAATCAAGGTACTTCTAAAAATCTTGATAGGAATTTTTTTAAAAATGTATTTATAAATTTCTTGTTTAAAATTCATAGCCAATCAATAATTTTTAATAATTTTAATAGTTTTTTTAAAAATTTAATTATTTAAAAAAAATTTTTTTCAAAAATTTTATAAAATTTCGAAAAATTTGTATATAAAAATTCATGAGTATGAATTTACAAAAAATTTCAATTTAAAATCGTCTAAAATGAAATTATTTTTCAAAATATAACCTATTAATCTACAAAAATTAAATTATAGTAATAGATGTAAAAGTTTTTTTGGATTGTAAAAAAAAAAAAATAAAAAATAAAAAAAAAAAAATAAACATCACATACTAAAATTAAATTATTTTAATAGATTTTTAAAAATTTTGTACGTATATTTGTATGCTAATAAGTACTAATTGTAAAAAAATTTGTCGATTTGTTGTTGGAAATCAGAAATTTATTAAGGTAATTGTTTAAATTAAATTATTTAAAGTTTTCTTCTTAATTTTTAATTTAAACTGAGATTTTTATATCCTAGTATTTTAAACTATAAATATTATTTCATAACATTTTATTAATTCAGGGTTTTGTTTTAAAATTCAAATTGATTTAGATATTTTCCAGGGTGAAACAAATAAATTCAAAGAGAATCCAATATTTTTAAGGATCGTCCCATGGATATCCTGAATATCCTTGTGTTGTGAGGGTTAAATTGAGAAAGGTCAAAAATCAAAGTCAGTTTATGTTATAACATAAATAATAATAATTATAAATAATAAATAATAATAATAATAATAATAAATTATAATAATAATTATAAATTTTGGTTTGAATTTTTTAGTTTATTTTTCATGCAAATACGACTTAAAATACTGAAGCAGTGAAACTTTGATTATTTATCTATTTTATGTATTGAGAGATAATTTGGAGTACGGCATTGTCAATTGTCAAAATAAAATTTTGCCAATACTCAGAACCTCTAACAGGTGAGCTAAGGTTTAAATAAATTGTTGACATACTTAATTTTAAATATTTAAATTAATCTCAAACATCAACTGTTCACATTTACCCCAAATGACTCTATATTTATTGCATTATCGAGAAATTAAAATTTTAATTATTTAAAAATACTTACAAAGAATTTTCAATTTTTTTTTACAAAACACTGCGTAAAAAGTATAATGAAGATTCGTAAATTTTTCTATATATTTAAACCATGTAGACAATACAGAAGCAAAATGAAGACAAAGAAAAAAGTTCCTGTAAAGTATTTTCTTGAAGTTAGAATAAATATCACTCACCATTATTTTCATTGATAAAGATCAAAAATCGAAATTATGATACCAAGGACAAAAAATTAATAAATAAAATGTAGTTTAAAAAAAACTATTTCTTAGAATGAGAAAATCAATACTTTTATACTACAAACATTCAGTTCTGTAATTTTTATACAATTTTTAATAAAACATTTCTGTTATTTTGTTGTCGTTATTTACATTATTATTTACATTGATTTCATATATAATTAAAGAGGATTGTTTTCCTTATCAATTCTAAATATTAATAGCAAATTTTATTGTATATCAATATAACATAAAAAGATAATTATACTTTATTTATTGTTAAGGTAAACCCTCTGCTTCCAATGATATCCGAAATCCAGATTGGGTTCCAAATTAAAATTTGGGATACATTGTTGGTACTAACATAAGAAAGCCTTCAGATTTACAAATAAGATATGAAAGAGCGAAAGGAAGAGTAAATATGTTACTGGAGTGGGATTACAAATAGCGACAGCGCTACGAAGATTTCGCTACGTAGCGATTCAAAGCTACATTCACTTTAAAAAATTTTCCTGCTATCGGGTGACTAAAAAAAATGGTATCATTTTGATAGATTTAGGTTGGTACAATTGTTTTTCTGTGTATTTTTTTCTCATATTTGCTTTATTTTATAATTTAACAATTTTTTTAAAATCAAGAATGTATCAAATTCATAAGGATTTTCCACGATGAAGAAATGAAGCAATTAAAAGAAATATCTAAAAGTCTGACAAATTTTTCAAGTGTAACAATCTCAAAAGTTATAAAAAAGGCAATTTGAGGCAACGATAATTATTAATATTATTAAATTAACACTTTTATTTCTAAATTTTAACCTTAAATTTTTTTATAATTAATAATTATAAACTAAATAAAACATAAGAATAATAAAGAAATAAAGAAAACATTTATTTTAAATTTCTATCCTTATACAAAATGTCAAGAAAATAATTCAACTTTATCCAATAATAATAAATTATTTACTTTTCTTTTTTATATTAATAATTAAATATTTATTGCATTTATATTTATTATCTTTTTCATAGGATTAAAAGTTTCTATTAGACATTGTCTAAAATGGGGAAAAAATTTAATTTCAAAAATTTTGAAGATATAACTTTGGAAATAGAATTTTTGTTCTCACGCAAGGTTTCACTAAAAAAATGTATAGGGCATTTTTTGTGAGTTAAAGAGTTTTTCAAGAAATGCAAATTTAAATCAATTTAATTAAAAAAATTTATCAATTTTTAAATTTAGGCTGGTAAAGAATATCCTAATTTTAAATCTCATGCAATTATTATTTTAAATTCTTGCAATAAGATTAATTTTCTTAATTTTTATTTATTAAATTAAATTAAAAAAATTTATTTCCTTTATAAATTATTTTAACATTAAACTAGATAATTTATTTTTAAAGTTGTTATTTATTAAATTAATAGGTTATTTGCAATATTAAAGTATAATTTATTTCGTCACTAGTTAATTATTTTATTTGAAACTAACAGTTGGCAAACATGAAGTTAGAGAATTGTTTCCACCTTCGTGTAATATTTGTTTGCTACGTAGATAAAACCTTTTAGGAAATTGACATGAATTCTATGTCAAAAGTCTTATCCAGTAGGGTTATGTTTATATTCTCTTTGGAATTACTATATCTTGCAGTTTAAGTTTTCAAAAAACTGTCAACGCTATTTTATTTTGGACATCATTTAGAACAAATTTGACTAAAAATATATAAGTTTTTAACCCTAAATAGCGAAAAGCGCTACATAGCGACTAGCGCTATTCGTAATCCCACTACTGATTTTTATTCTAAAAGCAATTATAAAAAAATACAAATATTCTACTATTATCTTTATAATGAAGGACTTTCGCGCGTTAATAAAAACCCGTGTACACCGTCCACATTAATCGAACGCTAAATACTTATCTCAAATTACGCTGAAAAATACTAAAGGCCCAGTGGGCAAAGAGACGTTTTAAAAACGTCTAAAAGACGTCTCATCTTGGCCGCGGACATCTGGGGACAATGGTAGTAAAAGGATGTCCAAAAGACGTCTTCTGGACGTCTAAAAGATGTCTTTAAGACATCTTAAAGAAATCAAACGGCCAAGACATAGAACATTCTTTGGACGCCTTTGTCGTCTTAAAGACGTCTTTTGTCACAAGTTCAAAAGAAGTCCACAAAAAGACATCCTTAGGACGTCTTTTGAAGAAGTGTGCCTACTGGGGGGAGATTCCAACCAAGTCAAACCATCGGTGCATTGATGATCTCAGAACAAGATTAACCATGAAAGAACTCAGCAACGTTGAAATGCCGACACTAAGACGAAGTTGACTAACGCTGATAAATCCAAATATGTTAACGACAAATAACACACATTTAGTTAACAACGAATAAAGATTTATTTAACACATACAACAATTATTTAAAAGAATAATTAAGCGTGTAACGCGATAATCAGTTATGAGTATCACAACAAAAGGGTCTTCCTTTCAATACCAACTAAAATCGACTGCCTATTGACGCCGACTTCCCCTAGATCTTCTAATCTATTATTTTATCTATTATTTTCCTCGTCACCCCTATTGCTTCATCCTTCTTCTAGAGACGATTTTGGCGGCAGCTCCCCGGAAAACCTAGATAACGACGCTGAGAATCGGGCCTTTAGGTGGCACAAACATGTGCAGATCCTCACGCAGAAAAACTGCCAGAACATATGTTCATGGCACGCTGACACGAAAAACCTCTTTTCGGCCTTAAAATAAGACTTTCTTTTACAGTGTATTCACATTATGTGTTTATTACTTTCATTGAAACGTCCACTACATAGAAGATGTTTTTTTCCTCAGTCCCATAAAGGTTAAAAAACTAAAATTTTTTCATGCTCATCAGCAAATAACAACTATAATTAAAAAAAATATTCTAGATATTGAAGAGGGTTGTATTTCTTCACCAAATAAGGTAATTAAAAACTAACAAACTGATTTCAATAGACATTCCTTGAAAAATATAGATTTTTTTATTGTCTTTCATTATATACACAATTAGTGCAGAAAGAGCACATGTTTACAAATCCAAATTGTTCAGGAACCAATAAAAACTGTTTTTCTTATAAATAAAAGAATTTTTTAAATTCTTCTTTTTTGTTTTACATTCTATTTTAACATTTTATTAAGAAATTGATTCTTAACAAAATTCCATATTTTGGGAAATGATCAAAATCGTACTTGCCGACATATTGCGAGAAGACATATACGCAGAATATTTACATGTAAAATCACAACAATTACATTACCTTAAACCTGTTAATTAGTATTTTTCATCTCATAGAAAGAAGCAGACGAAAATTGCGCTTTGTATATAGTTAAAGAGATGTTTAATAGAAGCACCGCAAGAGTTTCCAGTACAGGACGGTCAATTAAAACCCCGAGAAAGATTTTAAGCAATTCAGATGAAGAAACTCGTCCACCAAAAACATCCAAAAGAACAGTAACAGTTAAACAGAAGAGTAACCGCTCAGATTCGTGAGTAAAATTCTTATGTAAATGTGTTAATTACGCGAATCCGAAATCAGTTTTTCAAATTCAAAATGTCGAATCCAATATGGCGAAATTTTTTTAAAATTAGAAACCGAATCACTTGTAACTTGTTAGTTTGGATTGTTTTTGGGGTCACTGATTACGATTTTAATATTAGGTTCGTAATCAGCGACTCGAAAAACCCTGAAATAAAAAGTTTCACGCGAATCTAACCAAATTGTATAAAAATTGTCGCCATTTTAAATACTGGAAATCCAATATTAGATTCGTAATCAGCGACTTTGAAAACCACCCAAGTAACAAATTTTAAGCGAATCTGATCAATTTAAAAAAATATTCCCCCATATTGGATCCGCTATTTTTGAATTTTGAAAATCTGTCATCGCATTCATATAATCTCAGCGATCTCCAAAAAATTTCGTCTAAAGTTTTGTTGACTTATTTTTAAAAAAATTTCATATTTATTTTATGAATATTATATTTTTGTTTTTTTTATTTTTAACTAGTTCTGAAAATATTGCTTTGAATTGATAGACATACATTTTTTCCATTTCTAATAGGTCTCTATCGCAACAGAATACAGCATCTGAAAATTCAGCTATTACTGACAACAAATTAAACTCACCATTGTATCATATATCTCAGATAGAAGATCATCAGGAACATACATCTTCCACGCATCTAGTTGATCAAAAAAGCTCTCTCACAAGCTTGTAAGTATAGATTATCTCATAGTATACAGAAAAAACCTGATCACAAAGTGAGTACGGATTTCGTAGGGGAAAGTGGGGAGTCGTGCTCCACCTTAAAGGTATTTCTCCGGCAAATCGATTTTCGCTAGAAATTTTTTAAACTCTTGAAAAATGTTCCTTTTTATGTACTATATAAGTGGTAAAAAACCCAGTACCCCTTGCCATACTAAAAACTGAGAAATCTGGGTTCAAAGTTGCACCAGTTAACATAGGACTCCTAATCTGAACATGCAAAACTCATACATTTTATTGAATTATTTAAAAAGTTATTGATAGATTTTTTTAAAAACGAGTATATTGTAGAGTGGAATTAATAGAATAAGATAAAAAAAAGTTTTTGTTAGTTACCGGGATTGGTTCCCGTTTTCGGACAAAGGCAAAGATAAAAGTCGAAGTCAGAAATGTTAATAATTATTTATTATTGTGGAACAAGAACGCGGAACACAATTTCAATATCGCGGACAAAAAGGCGCGAAACACAAGTTTCGACTAACTTTAACGACCTCCGAGAACTCCACTCCGCCACAGCCGAAATTAAAGTTAATGCGTCGGTGACGTATTCTTTGAAGCGTCCCATACTGGGAACACCACTTCTTCACGTCCCAAAATTCAGGTAGTCACGAACTGGGAAAACCCCAATTTTTCCTCGTGCCTTTCCATGCTGTGGGATCTCCTTTTCCTCAATCCCTTCAGGTAGAAAGTCCAGCTGTGACCGTTGTGGCTTTTCTTCAAGTAACAGTCTGAAAAATAGTAATAAAACAACCCCCCACCGAACGAACAAAAAACCCAACACAAATCTAAATCAACTAAATTATTAATAAAGTTAAATTACGGATAACTTAAACCAAAAACACTTTAAAACTCCCTTTGATTCCGTCACTTCTGGTTCCTGTTTTCAACAGTTTTAGTAGGGGTATCCATGCTAATTTTTGAATTACAACGTTTTGAAGTAGAAAAGTTAGGTTATTTATTGATTTTTCAAGAGAGTCAAGTATATTACTCGCTTGAGAAAGAAAGAGAAAACACGACATTGAAGTGAGCTGTTGATTAGTATAAACTAGTCGCAAGGAACTGAACACTACTGGAGTCGGAGATATACCTTAATATTTTTCATGTGGCAATTAAGATGATAAATTTCAATTATTGGCATATTCTTTTCTCGTTAAAAACTAACTTTTTAAGTGGTACTCGTTATTTTTGGAAGCATTTTTCGTGTCTTTCCAGATAGTGATAGTTAATATTTGTTTCTAAAAGTTTTTTTGTCTCTTTATGTTTAGGTCATTTCCACTAATTTTTTTTAAAGTGATCACAATGTTTAATGCATAAAAATTATCTGTCATTAATAACTTTTCAACGTACAAAAAAGAAATTCGCAAAAACATTCGATGTATTAATTATTTTATGACTATTTTTGAAAATGTAGAAAGTGGAGAGTTGTGCTCCAGCGTTAGTGAAGAGTTGTGCCTCACATCATATTTAACAGCTTTTAAATCTAATATATATATATATATATATATATATATATATATATATATATATATATATATATATATATATATATATCAGAAAAAAATTAATAAATAAAGATACTGAAGTTTTTTACATTCTCTATTTTTATTCTTTTTCTAAATTAATAAACAATTTTTCATTCTAAAATTTCAACAGTAAACAGTTTTTTAAAAAGACACCTGTTTAATTTTTAATAATTTATAATGAAAAACAATTTCGTAATGTAAGTATAGTTTCTTCCAAACTTAATGTAAATTTTCCAAATTTTATACAATATCAGATATTATTTAGAAAATAAAACGTCGTATCAAATAGTAAATTATTTGGGATAGATTAAAAAATTAATTAGTTAAAACTTTATTAGTAATATTACAAAATCAAACAGATAAATTTCATTCTATAATTAACAATAGAATTTTCGCTAATAAATCGAAAGATGCGTCTTGAAAACATCTACGAAACTAAACATAAATATCTCCCTGCCGATGGCTGTCTGCTACCAAGAGTCTTGTAAATTCTTGGTAGACCTTGTCGTGGTGGTGGGGATTTTCACTAAAGAACTTCCAAAAACCAAGAAGTCTAGAAGTCTAGAAGAATGTCAACATGACTGTTAAAGACGGACTTTAGACTCTTCAGGATTTTGTCAGTGAGTCGAAGACAAAGCACGCCCTAGCAGACAATAAAAATGGTAACCTTGGTGCGGCGCTATAGGCAATGCTAAGAAACGAAGAAAAAACTGTAGCAGTCCGGAGAGAGCTAGCGCCGAGGAGAAGAAGAGAAAGCAAGAGGAGGCATCTCTTGTCAAAAAGATTGCCTAGGTGACGGTAAGCTCAAATCCTAAGCAAACCAATAAGAAGAAAACGACGAGTGCATCTACAATAGTAATCCGAGTGGCAACTGGAGCAACATATGCCGATGAACTGAGCAAACTTCGGAAGGAAGTGAATCTAGACGTCAGCCATACGCAAGTTGTTGCCGCTAGGTCTACTAGAAGGGGAGATCTGATTAAAATTAGAGGAGACTCCAATAAGGAGGCACTCACCGCTAAGATCACCATTTAAGCCGTTTGCTTGCATAAGAAAGGTGCAGATCGTAGATCGACAGGTCTCACTGGAGATCCGCGACCTGGATTGCCTGGATTGGATTGTCGGAAGTGCTCTAGAAGCCAGGAAGCAGGAAGATGACAATCCTAGGAACTAACTGACGACGAATGAAGCTCGCGATTGTAGTCACCGACCTAGAAGAGGCGGACAGGCTGGAGAATGTGGGACGCATAAGAATCGGCTTTATGTGTTACCCAATCAAACGAAGGGTGATGGTCTGGCGGACAGATTGCCTGCTTGCTTCAAGTGCAGTGAAGTCGATCATATGTTTGCAAACTACAAATGAAGCTTAAGCTGCTTCTATGTAGAGAAAAGTGTGGTGATAAGGCGAACATTAGCCATATCGCAGCAGCGGAGAATGCAAAGTTTTCAGGACGGCCCTTAAGGAGTCCAAGAAGACTTGCATGAACCAAGAATAAATAGGCCAGAAAGATCGGCAACGGCAAGGATCGCGATAGCGAGATCCCAGGGACTTTCACCTACGAAGTTTAAAGCTTGACGGCAGTTCCATAGCTGAGGATTAGTCCAGCCAAAGGGTGTTGTTTTTCGTGGATCGACCAGAACAAGAACGGTCATCCCCACAAAACCTAGGAGAACGAGGCTCCACGTATCTGCCTTGGATATCAAGAGTTATGCAGATTTTCCACTTCCATCGTTTAAAAAAAATCCGGCAGCCCCCTGCGGGGGCGGCCACATTCTCATCACGCGCTTCGCGCGTAGGGGCTCGCTTCGCTCGCTAGTTTAAGCGCGCCCCGGGGCGCGCGAAGGATGATCGTCCCGCTTCGCGGTCCAATATTTTTACGCGCTTCGCGCGCTTTGTTTGTTTATTACAATTCAAAACCTATTAGCATTAATTACTTTTTAACTATACTCTGTAATACAAAAATTTTCCTATTAAATTTAAAAATTGTATTAATTATACTACCAGAAAGTAGTTGAATGACCCAAGAATTTATTTGGTAGAATGAGATTTTGTAGTTGTTTCAGACTTTGTAGTTGATTTAATTAATTTTGAAGTAAAATGTCAAGAAGTAAGAAATTATTTTTATTAATTTTATTAAAAAAATAAAATTAATTACACACAGAGTTAAAACAAGTAAAAAAGTAGTTATTTTAAAAGGGGATCTTCATATAATCGACTTGTTTTGAAAAATTTATTAGAAACAACTCATAATCTTTATTAACATGCGTTAAATTAAATTATACAAATAGGTAAGGTTTAAAGGTATTAGAATAAATTTTTTATCGACCAAAAAAAAGAGAATGACGGCACTGCAGCTGTTCAAACTTAGTTCCTTAATATTGCGCCGTGGATTGGCCAGGACTTTGTAATTAACGAAAATCGACAAACCAAATTATTTACTAAAATAAGATATTCCGCTTTGAGCTAATTTCAATTGAGTAAAAGAAAAAATTAATTGAAAATTTAAAAACACTAAAAAAAAGAACTTTAAAGTAAATGCATTTTTTAAAGTAACAAATTTATTATATGAGGTTTCGCTCTCATGTTTTTATTCATAAAAATTTTTTTGTACAATTTATATAAGTGAAATTTTTGGTTTTTTTAAATTAATTTTCATTTTCTTAAAGTTCTTTGACTATAAGGATAACATTCTTATCACGGCACTTGTGTTTCACGCTCGAAAATTAGAAGCATACAATAGGAAAAGGAGACATGCATTAACCCATTAACGAAATTTTTATAGGTAATTTCAGGTTCTATCAAGTAGTGTACTAAAAGAACCGAAAATTTTTAAATAAACAATTTACAAGCATTAAAAAAAAGATTTTTTTAGAATTTTTGTTCAGTTTTTATAATTTTTTCAAATCTTATCCCTTCAGAATACCTTTAAGGCCAGGTCCAAGTGAGGCAGCGCAATCTACATTGATACTAAAATTTTGGAAAATTTTCAACAGCCTTTTCTTGAAAACAAGATGGTAAAATGCTTTTTCCTTTATGGATAATTGATTATTGGCAAGATATACACCAGCTAAAACTTTTTTTGAGTTAAAATAATAAAAAAAATTTCATGTCAATAAATTAAATATGAGCACTTTTTTCACAAAAACTGTAACAGTACTTTCTCAGAAATTACAATAAAAAATGCAATTTCCATTTGGAAAATTAATAAACGCTAAAAAATACACGACCTAAGATTTACCAATCACGAAAATAACAAAAAAAATGTTATTAAATATTTAACATATTGATACTGCTTTACTGAATGTGACAGCCCTTTGGTAGATTATGTATTTCAGGTGGTTAGCAACAGCGCCAATTTCCTCCTTTCGGCAAATCTGCGAAATGTCTGGTGACATAACCTGCCAAACAGCTGTCATAATGAGTAA